AGGAGAAGGAGAGGAGAGAACAGACCTACCCCACCACCGTGGAGAGGATCCAAGGCATATGTACACTTCCTGGAAGGATAAATGGCAAAGCAGGAAGCACACCAGCACTTCTCCCCCTACCTGGGCCAGCTGCTGCTCACAAGGGTTATGTGCTAAGCTAAAAAGCCCAGGGAACCTGCACGGCCAGCTCTGCTTCCCTGGGGAGCAGGCAGCACTTCCCTGACAGCACAGTGATTTTGTGGGAAGCACAGCAGAGCAACACCATCCACGACCAACACAGGCATGCAAAAACAAGCTGAACACAGGCAAGGGGAGTGGTACAGGAGCAGGAATTGTTGTCCTCCTCCTTTCCTGGCACTGCCAGGGTGTTTGAGGCTGGGGTGCTTGTTAAAGTTGCAAACACTGAGTTTGTGGGGAGAGGACCATGGATGGGGAAGAAAAGGGAGGTCATTAACCATCCAGCACTGATGCCTGGATGTTGCTGGATGGTTACACAGCTTTCCAGACCCTTTGCCTGAGATGCTCTAACCCAGGGCTGGAGGAGTTAGGATGGGAACTTTGTGCTGGCAGTTAGGCACCCAAGCAGAGGGCAGGAGTTTGGGGAGGGCAGGGCTGCCACAGGACGTTAGCAGAGGCACAGCAAGGCAGGAGCAGCTGTTAGACCTGGAGTGGGAGACAAAGTCATAGACAGGAATCTGGACCGTCTTCCCTTCTGTGATCTCTTTGAGCGTTTTCACGATCAGCTCGTTGTCAAAGGCATCTGAGGAGAGAGGAAACGTTACCCGAGGCAGCTTTGCAACCTCTCCCACCCACCAGCTGCCGAGCTTTGCCCAAGCCAGAGTCGTTGGCACCTCACACTGGGGACAGACAGACACACAGTGAGGAAAGCCCTGCACCTCCCCAGGGACCAGGCAAGGCCACGGGGCTCTGTGGCTGTGCAGCAGCCTGGGATGTGGCCTGCAGAGATCAATACTGTCCTTGTGTCAGCCCAGGCACAGGAAGGCATCTCCTCCAGGGCTCCAGCCCTCAGACAGAGACTGCAGCAGTGTTCCAGCCACACAGACAGGGCTCTGTTTGCTCAGGGCTCGCTGCCTCTGGCATTGTCCTCCTGGGGACCAAGGGACAGCAGCTCTGGAATTTTCCCACTGAGCCCAGAGATGGTTCAAAGAGCCCCTGTTGTGGTAACAGGGCAGGGCCCCTTGCTGGAAGGGTTTGCAGAGCAGCTGCACAGCTGGTTCCCTCCTTGAGGGAGGGACAGGGAGCTGCTGGCTCCAGGGACTCTGCCAGCCCAGATCTCTCTGGGCCTGACTCAGCTGCACCAAAAACCAATCTGTTCCTTTGCTGCCTGCTCTAGGTGAAGGGTATTGGAACAAGATGACATTTAAGGTCCCCTCTAACCCAAACTATTCAATGATTCTACAATTCTATGAAAACCTTGTTCAAACTGGGGGATGTTGTTGCAGGAAGAGGAGGGTCTTAACGAGTTTGAGGGTTATAACCTGCTCTTTCACATCCCAAACACTCCACCCCATTTCCTTTCTAAGAGAGATGGGGGGATTACACACAGGTGGTTCCAGCCACAAGAGCTTGACTAAGCCATCCCATGAGGATTCAGAGCCCCAGTGTCCATGAAGGGTCTCCATCCCTGTCCCCATAGTGCATGGCAGAGCCCCAGGGCTGCTCTCCACTCACCTGGGTGGTCAAAATTGAACTGGCCTTTGAGTGCTTTGGATTTCTGCTCCGAGGTGAGCACCCTGTAGAAGCTGTCTTGGCTCACGATCACCACCTGCTTCTGGCGATAATCCACCTCGTTCTGCCCCAGCAGCTGCACAATCTTGGAGCACACTGAGGACTGGCAAAGGAACAGAGCAAAGGAGGCACATCAGCAGCAAGTTAGCAGCACAGGGAGGATTGTGGTGGTGCTCACAGGGGTCCCAGGATGAGGGAAGAGATGAGATCTTGACTCCATGTTTCAGAAGGCTGATTTATTATTTTTTAATATATGTTATATTATGTTATATTATACTATATTATATATTATTATACTACATTATATAACATACTATACTATATTATACTATACTATATTATACTATACTATATTAAAAGAAAATTATATACTAAAACTACACTAAAAGAATAGAAGAAATTATTTCATCAGAAGACTAGCAAGGAATAGAATGATAATAAAATCTTGTGACTGACCAGAGAGTCCGACACAGCTGGACCGTGATTGACCATTAATTAAAAAAAACAAGATGGACCAATCAAAGATGCACCTGTTGCATCCCACAGCAGCAGATAATTATCGGGTTTTTTTTCCTCTGAGGCCTCTCAGCTTCTCAGGAGGAAAAAATCCTAATAAAAGGACTTTTCATAAAATGTGTCTGTGACAGAGGATGTCTCCAGGTAACACCCCTGCCTGCTTGCTGCACCTCCAGCCAAGAGTCTGTGGCTTTCCTAAAGCCACCGAGGCAGAAGTGCTCCAGAGGCATCACCATGGTACCCTTTAATGTGACAGCAGCACCAAGTTTGCTGCCTGCCACCCTCTCCTGCGCCCCTATAGCCTGCCCACAGCTCCTATTCTGGGCACAAGTGGCAGCAGAAAAACAGTTGGCTCCTGCCTGGGTTCAGCCACATGCCATGGGCACTTTCTCCTTCAGAAAGCACTCTTGGCTCCCCCAGCTCTGCCCCATTCCAGAAACCCCACCACAGCACAAGAGAGAGCAAACAAAGCCCAGGTATGAGGAGGAGAGCCCATAGGACTTTATCAGGGATCTGTGCCACGGCTGCCAGGCTGGGAGGAGCCAGCACATCCTGGTGCCTGCTGGCACGGGAGGCTGGGGCACTGCAGAGTCAGCAGCTGAGCAGCCACGTGGGCCTGGCTGCTGGCACGGGCAGCGGGCACCTGGCACTGCCCACGGAGCAGGCTGGGACAGGGCGGCTGGCACCGGCTCTGCTGGCACCGGGGCACGGCCACCACTGCCACAGGACACAGGGCACAGCTCGGGGGCAAGCCCAGAGCCTGCTGCAGTCCCTTCTCCTTAGTCATGGCAGTCCTTGGGGGTGACTGCACTGCAGCCTGGCAGCCAGCACTGCCCCTGCCACTGAGAGCCACTGCCTCTGCCCCATGGCACCACTGCCCAGACAAAGCAGCTCTGTGCCAGGGGGAACAGCTCCCACTCAAGCAATCACACTGTGCCCAGCTGAGCTGCTCCTGGCCCTGGCCACCACAAGGGTTGTGCTGAGCCCTGTGCCTTGCAAAGAGCAGAGTGCTTGCCCCAGCCTGCCTACCCCAGCCTGCCAGGGGCTCTTTTCGTTCTCCTGCCTCCTGGATGGCTCAGCCATCTGCTCCATACCTGGCTGGAAATTCTGAGCTGAAGGCAGCACTGGTGAGAGGGAGCAGGGAGGGGAGTGCATGCCTGGCAGAGCTCACCCCAGCAGGCAGAGGGCAAGGCTGTTTGCCTGAGAAGTGGAAGATTTGACAGCATTCCCCTCTCCAGAGACCATCTCTTCCCTCCAGGCCAGGCTGACCTGCCTTGGCTGTGGCCACTGGGCTGTGAGTCATGCCCAGCCTGGCTGGAGAGGCTCACTCAGCTCTGCTGCAGAGAGAACCAGCTCCAGCTCACCCACAGCAGTCTGGGCAGCCCTGGGCACCAGTTTGGGTTTTGGCTCAGGGATAGGGTCTCCTGAGCATCCCACCTTCTTCTCCTGCCTCTCCAAGCCAGGCTGGCAGCCCTGCCCTGCAGCAAGCTGCTCCCACCCGGAACAAAGCCCTGCAAGTCCGTGCCAGTCACTTACCCTTGCACACAGGCAGGCAAAGCCAGAGCACGCTCTCCTTTTCCTCTGTTTTCCCACTCCCCAAATCCTTCTCTGGCTGCTCTCCTTTTCCTCTGTTTTCCCACTCCCCAAATCCTTCTCTGATACAACTGTTTATCCAGCTGTATCCCATAGGTTCTGCAAAACTGGGGTGTGTTCAGTGCTTCTCTTCCACCTTTCCTGGCTGCTCACTGCCCCAGACACCACTGCCCGCCCATGCAGCAACAGGACACAGCACAGCAGGGCTCAGCCTTGGCTACAGCTGCCCAGGACACCAAACTTCCCAGGCCCTCTGCCATCAGGAATAAACTGCCCTTCAGCACAGCCACTCAGAGAGATCCCCAGAGCCACAGGTTCCATGTGGATCTGCACCCCAAACTGCTTTTGCCAGCCCAGGGCAGGGAGCAGGACTCCTTTCCTTTGAATCAGTGAAAGCAGCACATAGATTTGCATTCACTCTCTCCCCTTGGACCTCAGCATGTGTATTGGCAATAAAATCATCACAAATGGTGTCAGTCTTCCTTCTGCACACTACTCTCTGGTCTGTGGATTCTGGACGGTGGAGAAGAGCCTCCACCAGCTCTGAAAATCACCCTGTAGCTCCACACCTCACAAATTGAGGCACTGATAGTGAGAAAAGCCTAAATAGAAGGCACCCCAAAGCAGCTGGAGACAGGAACACGTCCTCCCTCCAGGTTCCAGACCAGGAACAGATTGGATCCCAGCTGCATCTGCCATCCAGGGCTTGGGGGCAGATGGTGCCTCCTTTGCCTTTTTCCAAAGCAACCTGGCAGACACAGGTTGGACCCTTCCCTTGTCCCTGGTGGGCTCTGGAGAGCTGGCTGAAGTGGTGGAGAAAGACAAGCAGGAGGACATCCTGCTCTCAGCACCGAGCTCAGTTTCAGCCTGGCTGAGCAGGGATGTCACCTGCTGGCTCTGGGAAGAGGAGGTGACACCTTGGACAATTGTCACCTTGGTGCTGCAGGTGTGGGCCAGGCACTGCTCACATACTGCACCTGCATGTTCAGCTTGCCTCAGTCCGCTCCAGGGCTGGATTCAGCTCTCCTTTGCAGGGCCCTGAACCTCAGCAAGGTCCAAGAGAAGGTTTTTTCCTTTTTTCACTACCATTTGTGGTAGGAACAACAATGTCTCATGAGGGGCAGTCCCTGATGCCAATGTGAACAACTCCTACAGCTGGACATGCAGTTTTTCCCCTTGGTTGATAAATACTCACTGTTAAGAAGGAAGAAAAACCAGAAACATACAGCTTGGAAACTCCCCTACACAACAGGAACAGAAACTCCCAGCCTCAGGAAATGTCCCCCCAAATAAATGAGATATTCCCTGCTTAAACCCTTTTCTCCCAAAGCTGCACAGCATACATGTGTGACTGTGAAAAGATCCATCAATAATAACTGGAAATGAGCACAGCCAGGTTTTGGGGAGACCCACAGATGTCCAGTAAAGCAAGAACAGAGCATGACTCCAAAGAACTGTGCCAGTGTGCCTCAGTCGGGAGGCAGGGGACACTTGCTGACAACAGGCACTTAACAGCCACTTGAAGGGGCAACCTGGGCTCAGATTCCTTCTTTTGTTGCTTCTCCCAGGGAAGAAGACAACTGTTTCTTCTCCAAGAAGCCCAGGAGCGCAGAGGACGCCTTGAGAAAGGTGACTTGATGCCAATACACAAGCTGGAGGGTTTGAAGCCCATCACCAGCCATGCCTTACATGACACAACTCACCTGCAGGACTATGAGAGCTGTGCCAGAGCTTCTTGTCTCTGCTCAGCCCCTTTCCATACCCACCTCATCCATGCACACCTTGCCACAAGCCAAAGCTGGTGATTCAGCTGCAGCAAACTCCAGGCAACAGGATGCTGCTTTCTCAAGCAAAAGGAGAGAGCTTTCCCTCCTCCAGAACTTGGTTACAACTAAATATAGCCAGGCCCCAGCAGCCTCTGTGGTTGACAAGCAGACCTTTCCCATGCAGCCACATGGACTGAAGCAGGACTTTCCAAGGGACCCTGGCTCCTGCTATGGGTCCCAAAATCCCACACACTGCAGGGAGGGGAACTCGGCTCCAGGCTGGAGCTGCACTCCCCCAGGCTCTGTGCTCGAGCTGCTCCCTGGGAAAGCTGTGCAAAGCAGCCCACACCTCCTGGAGAGGAAGGTATCAGCACAGCACCACGCCAGCCACAGCTCCAAGAGGTTACTCCTGAGCAGGAGCAGCTGCAGCTCCCCTTGCAGGACTCCTCCCCTGAACCAAGCAACAAACAGGCAGTGTTCAAGGAAGAAGTACAGCTTTATTCTGCTAGGAACATGCAGAGGGCACCTGGAGAAGAAGTCCAACATATTTTCCCAAAAGGAGAGAGGTGGTACACAGGGGAAGAAACAGATGGGTGTTTGGAGGCCTACCTCTAACATTTATTTGGAATACATTAATTACATATTTAATTCACATTCACTCGTGGCCTATAGCCAGCTGCTCAGATATTCTTCAGGAGTTGACTAATTCCCTGACATTATTATGCAGATTATCCCACAATCCCTCCTGGGTAGCTCTGATCAGTGAATATCACTTCTGATAGGTGTTAAGGAGAAAGCTGATGGACAGTGCCACTGTCACCCACCAGGTGAAGGGGCCAGGACACAGCTGATGCCTCCAGCCCCAGGAGGGCAAGGCCTGTCCTGGGCTGGCAGAATCCTAAGCCTTGTGCAGGTGGATATGCTAAAAGCCACCTGCTGACAGCAGCCTGTCCATCCCCAAGGAACCCAGCACTGCAGAGGGATGTTCAAGGTCCCATTCCAGCTGCAGGGAGGAACTCCCATTTTCCCAGGGACTCTAAATGAGACACCCAGCAAAAGTGACTTAGCCAGATCAAGTGATTCCAGCCCTAAAGAAACACTGGAGCTGCCAGATCCCTCAGGAGGGGGAAAAGGGTTGTGCCAAAAGTGTGGAAAGAGAGGCACAGCCTCCTGCCACCACTGCAGGCTGCTGCTCATGAGGACTGTCCTCCCCAACAGAGCAATGCCCTTGGCCCAGAGCACAACCAGGAGCCAGGACAGACTGCAGCAGTCCCATCCCAGCAGGGAGAGGTTATCTCCAGGGATATCAGTGCCATAACGCCCTTCCTGCAGGATCTGATTGGGAGCTGGCTTGGCAGGAGCTGGCCATGGCTCTGCAGCTGCAGCAGCCTGCTTGGGGTGTCCTCATCACACCTCTGTGGATAAAACAGTCTCCAGTTTTGTGCTCTGACAGGATTTTCCCTCACATCAAACATAAGGAACCACTGTAATTATTTGTTTAATTTCTCTGCTGTCCTGTGTAGCATGCTGCCCTTATCTCCTGCAGCACACGAGTTACAGATGTTGGTCTCTTCCTGAAGGTTATGGTGATTATAAACTACCAGGAAGTGTTTGGACTGGGATGACACACAGAACAGACAGCAAATTGGGAAGAGTCCCAGAGCATCCATCAAATGCCTGTGACTGCAGACAGCCAGTTCATGACCCATTCCATCCTTTCTAGCCCTAATGGGAGCATACACATGTGGCAACACCAGGACTGGAAACTTAGTATTATTCCTGAACCAAAAGCCTGTCTCTCCATCCAAAGCACTCCCAGGCAGGTTCACCACCCTGCCTTTCCCTTTGTGAGGCACAGGCCAAGCAGAGCAGGAGGGGGATAGCCAGGTTTCTATTCACTCACCCTGGGACACTGTGCATGTGATCAGCAATCCAGGGCTGGAGCATAAACAGGCACACACAGAGGCTCTAAACACAGATTACACGCAGGGAGGAAAACAAGCCCTCTAACACAATCCCTCCCAATCCTCTGGTTTTAGGCACAGGATATTTTCCTCTAGCCCCTGCTGCAAACTCCATAGCCCAGAGCTGGCTGAGCCCACAGGACTGTGGTAAGCAGACTCCATAATAAGCACATATTCCATCAGTAACAGGAAAGGGCTGACCCATCAAAACGCCCTGTGGATCAGTCTGATCAGGGCTGGCACACAACAACGTTCTGCTAGAAAGTTTGATGAGTCTCTAGCACACGTTGACACCAGTGTTTAACTAGTCAGACCTTGTGATGCAGGGCTCCTGCCAGCCACAAACCAACGTCACCAGGAAATGGTGCTGAACCGGCACAGGGCTGCTGCAATTCCTGTTAGTCCCCCTCCCGTGGGGGAGCCATTCCCGGATCTCCCCTGGCCTTCTGTGCCAGCCATCCGGGTGGTGACATTGTGCCAGCGACCCCAGGCTGTGTGGGGGACCTCTGCCCTTGGTGGGCTGAGTTGTCACAGAAGAGGCTCCATGAGAGATGGAGCTGCCCCTTGCAGCTCTGAGCCCGCCTTCCCTCGGGGCCAACACTGCTGTGCCACCCTGGCAGGGCAATGCCAGCCTCCTGGCTGGCTCACTCCTGCAGCCTGAGCCAGCCCTGCCAGTGTGGTGGAGCCAGTGAAGAGCACACCTGGCTGATCACAAGGCTGTAATCTTGGTGCTCTGCAGGCTGGAAACTCTGAGGCTGCATGTTCAAACAGACATTGGGAACTTGATGTGCTAACTCAAGACCCAAATGATGTAACTACCTCCAAGGCTGCAGCGGCACCCATGCTCAGCCCTCACTGCCATCTGAGCAATGAGCAGCCAACCAAAGCAATCTGTCATTTCTCACAAGCTCCTGTTGGAAGGCAGCAATCAGCACCTCACTTCACGTGGGGACAATTAATGCTTCAGCCTGAGCTCCAAGAGCTCTCCCCACCCCTGCAGCCACCCCAGCACCAGATGCTGCTGCTGGGAGCAAGCTGCTCCAGGCACTGCTGGCAGAGCTGCAAGGTCCCTAAGCTGAAGTGAGGACACAAAGAGCTTTAGGAGGTATCCCAGCACTTCCCAGCTCATCTCAGCAGCCAGTTTGCTGAACTTTCCTCCAGCCTGCAGCCTGGCTGCCTGCCTTGTGCTCCGCAGAGTCCTTGCTGGTCAGGAATGTCCTGCAGGAGCAGCTGGCACAAAGGCCATGGGTGTAAGAGGGAACAAGAACTCCAGCAGAACACTTGAGAACAGACAGGGTGAAAGAAAATGTGACAACAAGCCTTGGGAATTGCTCTGAGGGAATGAAGGCAGTTGCAGTGCTCTTCATGTTTGGAAGGATGGGAGTCTTAATGCCAAGTGATCTCCACCCCAGGAAAGCACAGACTGCACAGTGCTTGGGTTTCAGGGGACAACTCTTTTTTTTTTTTTTTTTGTGAAGAGCCTGTCCCAGCTGAGCTGACTCAAACCAACCACTGTGCAGCTTGCACTGCCCTCACAGGGGCTGTGACATCCCAGACTGCTCAGGGCCTCTGCAGCTCCCCAGTTTTGCTCCCAGCAGTCCAGCTTTCTTCCCAGAGCCAAAAACCAGGAAAGCACTCAAGGTTCTACCTTTATTTGAGTGGGCAAAGTTGCTCAAGCCATTTTTGCTCACTAGGGAAAGAGTGCTCAGCCTTTGAATTTGAGCTCTCACAGATCTAAGGAACACTATCCAAACAATCCCAGCGTTTTGGGAAGGCTGGTTGTTTCCAACACCAGCTTCCCCAGGGTACCACGGCACACAAGTCATGGCCAGCTACAAACACATCCCATCCTTGCACAGCCTGACCCTGCTGCTGCACCAAGAGGGATGGAGGGGACTGTGGAGCCTATTGTCCCCATGTCAAACCCAAAAGCAGCAGTGGGAGGAGCTGCAGGGGGCCTTGGAAGGCAAATTCCCTCCGTTATCTTCGGGCTGGTGCGCTGCCAAAGGGGTGTGTTGGGACAACAACCCGCAATTGGTGTCGAGGCCAGTCGGATGGATCTGTCACTTTCCCACTGGGAAAGGTGCCTGCTTCACTCCCCTGCTAGCACTCACTTTTCACCCAGAGCCAGCACATTAGCACGGCAGCCCCTGGGCTGGATTTTGGCTGCAGGCAAGCCCTGAGCTAAGCAAACCTCATCAGCCCCATTGCTGCTTTCCCAGAGCGTGCTGCAGCACCCGGCACAGGCCACTGTCACCAGGCAGGTGAGGGACAGCCCCCACATCCCTGCGTTGCAGCCACACCAAATGTGAATCTGAGGAGCTGTGGGCACAAGCCTCAGGTCATTTTTTCCTGTTTCTTGGGGTTTTTTTGCCAGTATATTTCTTGTGGCCTTTTCCCACCAACTTTGTAGCGATCTGCCAGACTCCCTTCAACAGGCAACACTGCACAGAGATTTTCAGCAGTCACTGGAGGGGGGGAAATCAAAGCTGAGAGACAGGAAAAGCCAGTTAGTACATCTCCCTTGCTAGAAAAGGACTATTTCCCTATTTTTTTCCTAAGGCAGCCTGCTGCTCCTGAGCATTTTCACTTTGAAGTCGAGCACCACTGCGGTGCATTGTACTGTAATCACTGCTTTTACCTTGTGGGCCTGAGACACCGTGTTCAGAGACATAACAGTTCAGCAGCGCCAGACGCGATGTTATTGGGACAACTACAGAGAGGCAGACCCACGCATCAGAGAACAGACAAACCCAGCGTGCTTGAGTCACCAGAGCTGTGCTGCAAGAACAATCCAGCTTTCCTTCCCACCGGAGGAGATTGCATCCTCTCTCTCACCATCCCTCCCCTGTTACAGCTGGATTTTTCCCCCTTGCAGCAGCAACAGCAGTCCAAAAATCAATAGGGAACTCGGAGACACATGCTTAAAACACTGGGCTGAGGTACAGCAGTTGGGTTGTGCCTTCAAGAGAAGGAGGGATCCCCCGGAGATCAGCCCGCAGATCCCAGGCTCATCCTTCTGAACGTGCCAGCCCACATTCAGTTTCCTCAGCAATAAATATTTCACAGGTATAGAGCTACTTCCAAATCTATTCATCCTTTCCTAAATACAGCTAGAACGTGCTGCCCTGCATAAGTGCTGATGAGCTGCGGAGCTGTTTTACCGCTCTTAAATAAGAAGGAAAAAAAAAAAAAAAAAGGTATTTTCTTTTCCTATTAAGAAAGAAAGTGACCTAGCGAGGTTAAACAAATTCAGACGGGCACACTGCACGAAACAAGGAAAATAAAACGCTGGAAAGCTGCAAGGCTGCCGTGCACTGCAGTTTGGGTGTAGCAGCCTGCCGGCAACACCCGCATTGCCCCGGCGGGCGATGCCCCGTCCGTGCCCGCAGCCCTCGGCCCGCTCCGCGCCCACCTGCCGCTGCCAAGGGCCAGCCCCTCCCGGCACGGCAGCCAGGAGGTCCTGCTGCCGCTGTGAGTCAGCATTTGCTGCAGAATCCCCGCTCCTGCCACCCTAAACTTGGGCAGATAAGGGCACCCCCATGCACGACCGGCGGGGGTAGAAATTAAAAGAATTGCATCGGCCCCGAGGTGCCCTGCGGGGCGGGCAGCGCCTGGGGTCGGTGCGGGTGATGGGGAACGGGGGAAGCGCTGACTACAGGACCACAGAAGAGATTCTGGAGGGGAGGGAGATGCTGCCGCTGCCCCGGCCGAGCTGGGGCCGCCCTTGCTCCGCACAGCGGCCCCCGGCTCTGCCCGCTGCCACAGAGGGACACAAGGTTCCGGCCGCAAAGAAGGAGCGAGTAAATCCCGCACCCACCCCGCACCCCCTCCACGTGTCCGCGGGGCTCCGTCCGCCGGCCGGGCAGAGGCCTCGGCGGCCGCGCTCCTTCCCCCGGATCGTCCTTCTCCGGGCAGCCGGCTCCATCCGCAGCCGCGGCCCCGGCTCCTCCATCAGCCCCGAGCCCCGGCCGGGCCGGGAGCAGCGCACGTGGCGGGGCGGCCGCTCGGAGCCGCCGCCGCCGCTGCCATGTGGCCGCCGGCCCGGCCTGGCGGGCAGCTCCCCCGCCGACCCCCGCACCTTGCCGCTGGCCGTGCCGCCGCTGACCCCGATGAGGAAGGGCTCGCCGCCGCTGGGCTGCCCCTGCTCCTCCAGCCGCTGCTCGCTGTCCCCCGCCATCCTCCCCGGCTCACCGCCGCACCTCCTCCGCCTTCGCTCAGCCGTGCGGGGCTGGATTTATCTGATGAGTCAAGGGCCTTCCTCCCCGCCTGGTTCACATCCCCGGCGCTGCGGCTCCTTGCCAGGTGCTGCCGCAGCTGCACATGCTCCGGCCCAGCCCGCCGGCGGGCGGCACTGCGGCCACATGGGCCCGCACCGCGCCGCCGCCCTCAGCCCGCCCGCCCGGCCGCGGACAAAGGCGGCGGGCCCCGCGCTGCTCCCGAGCCCCGCACTGCTCCTGAACCCGCTCGCTTCCTCTCTCCGGCCACTCCGCTTCATCCCACACCACGGTGGGTCCCGACAGAACCTCCATTGTTTGTGTCCCACGCTGGCCAAGGAGGCCAAGGGCATCCTGCTTTGAATCAGCAATAGTGTGGCCACCAGTTCCAGGGCAGTGACCGTGCCTCTGTGCTGGGCACTGCTGAGGTCGCACCTGGAAAACTGGATTCAGTTTTGGGCCCCTCACGACAAGAAAGAAAATGAGGGGCTGGAGTGTGTGTAGAGAAGTGAACAGAGCTGGGGGAGGAAGGCCGGGGGACTCAGCCTGGAGAAAAGGAGGCTCAGCAGGAGCTTTAGTGCTCTACACCTGAAAGGAGGTTGTGGCCAGGTGAGGGTCAGCATTTTTCCCATCTAACAAGAGATAGGGCAAGAGGAAATATCCTAAACTTTTTCCTAGGCTTGCGTGTGTAGGTTGGATATTAGGAAAAATTTCTTCACCCAAAGGGTGGTCAGGCTTTGGAACAGAGTACCCAGAGAAATGGTGGAATAATCACTATTCCTGGAAATGTTCAAGAACCACATAGATGTGACATTTGAGGACACTGTTTAATGGTGAACAGTGCTGAGTCAGTGGCTGGACTTGGTGATCTTGGAGGTCTTTCCCAACCATAACAACTTTCTGATTCTCCCACCCCACCTGGGCCCTGGTCCTGCAAAGCACTCATAAATTATTATTATTATTATTAACAACTCAAATCTAAGAATAAAAGTTATGCTTATGTCTTTGGCAAATGGGACCTCTCTGGAAAGAGCCATGAGTGCTCTGAAGGCTAGGATTCAAAGTCAAAATGACCTCAACAAAATGGAAAAAGGATTGGAAATACGTAGGGTGCAAGTCCACGCAGACAAATGTGATATGATCCATGACAATGTGAGATAGGAGCCTGCTGGTTAGCCAGGCCTTTTACAGATAAAGATCTGGTGTAGAGTGGATCAAAGAATCAATTGATGATGCCCTGTGAAGAAGGCAAACATCCCATTGGGGGCATAGAAACATCCACAGGTGTGCTCTGAGAAAGGTGAGGCCTGGTGGGAACTCAGGAGCAGCCCAGGGTCTGGCTTTGTACCACTGCAAAGAGATACCTTCCCCATGTTTAGTCTGGGGAAGGTCTCTGCTGCAAACAACTATATAACTATTTAGTGCAATACAACATCTGCTGGGCTGTAAGGCTGTGTGGACATGATAACTGTTCACAAATACATAAAACCTGCCACAAACAGAAAGGGAATAAGTTTCTTTTACCCTTAGGGACTAAAACAAGATGTTGCTAGCTGAACACTGTTACAAGGACAATCCAGGCACATTTTCTAGGGTTGGAAATGGTTAAATCATAGAAAAGGTTGTTTAAGGAGAGTAAGGACTTTAAAATCTGAGGATTAAAAAAAAAATTTAAAAAGAAAAACCAGTAGACATGCTCCTGTATGGAAAATGTTCAGTAATGCTGATCCTGCTTTGGAGCAGGAGCAATGCCCCAAGGTTCCTCCCAGCCCTGTTCAGAGAGGATCAGAACTCTCAGTCAGGTTTCTAACTTCCCACTTCAACACAGCAAAGCAGGTGTGGAGATGTTTGCCAGACAGGTGCCATGTCCCCCATCCCACAGGATGTGAGGGAGGATCCCCTCAGCAGCCCTGACCCCTCTGCCCACTGCTCCCCATTCCTCTCCAGCAGTGCCAGCATGGGAGACTGGCACTGCATGCAGCCCTGCCAGGGAAGGAAGTGCTATATATGGATGAGAACTTCCTGCAGGGATGAGTTCCCGTGGATTCCCATGGCCCTGGGCCAGTTTCCAAGCACTGGCCATGGGCACAGCTCCTGCACGCCCCAGTGGGACCCAGGAGCTATTCACAGCTCTTCTTTCTTACCTCAGCGCTGACACAGTTCTATGTGGATGGCAAAACACCCTCAGGAGAGAGAGAACTCCAGGTTCTTGGGTTCTCCTCCAGCCTGCCATCACTGCTGCCCTGCTTGGGGACAGTGCTGTTTCAGGCTGTGCTGCCCGGCTTGAGCTTCTCTGGAGGATGCCCGTCATGGCATTTCACCTCCAGGTGAAAATGGACTTGTCCTTCATGTGGCAGGAGCTGACACACACCTGCAGGGGAGGGGGTTGAGCTAAGGATACCCAAGGCTTATTTATACAGAGCACAAGGAGACTTGAAAAGGTCAGATTAATGGCTCTTTCAAAACCAGGCCAGGGCTGTGACCTAGAAGTGAGCCAGATGCAAGTCCCAGTTAGTTTCAGATGGCACTTTTCCTCAAAACTGAGAATTTTACACACCCTTTTACTGGCTGCTGGTCACTAGCACACTGTGCAAAGCAACTGAACATTTGTTCAGTTTAAGCTTGGAGACTTCAGTATGTGAAACCTTCTGGGATTATGTGTCACTCTAATCTGGTTTCAAGGTTGCCTCCATAAATATTACCACTTCTATATCTAGAATGTTTGTGGACTACACCAGCCCCTGACTCTTGAAACCAGAGTGATGTATTATGCAAATGCCTTTCTTTTTCTCATATCCCAGGCTGGTAGATCAAACCAGACTGCACCCAACTCTCATCTGTCCTTTACACGTTGATCAAAGCACAAGAATGCTGTTTTGAAAAGGAAATGCCATTGAGGGTAATGTGCTGTGTGTTGTCTGTAAAAAGGATCTGCTGATAAGGATCCCCGTGTGATTCAAAGTGACAGGATGAAATTACAAAGAGCCTGTTGTCACCTCTACCTCCAGTTCAAAGCATGGACCCTGCAGAGAAAAGAGGTTCATGGTTCACTGACCATCTCCTCCTGGCCTGCATCTGCCAAAAAAACCACACTCAGTATCAATAAGTGATACCATGTGAATAATTTCCCACAGCAGCATCTGAGAAACGATTTCAAAATACTGCTTTGATGCATCTCACAGCCAGGAAAGCCAGGGAGCTCTAAAGGAAGGGAGAGAGGGGGGAAGATGGCATACAGCACAGGGAACTGCATGAGGTGGCACAAAATAATATAGAATCACAGAATGCTGTGGGTTGGAAGGGGCCTTACAGCTCATCTCGTTCCAAGCCACCTTCCACTATCCCAGGGTGCTCCAAGCCCTGTCCAACCTGTCCTTGGCACTTCCAGGGATGTGGCAGCCACAGCTTCTCTGGGCACCCTGTGCCAGGGCCTGCCTACCCTCACAGGGAAGAATTTCTTCTATATATCACAAATCCTTCTGTATCACCACCTGTAAGCATCTTCCTGCTGCTCACCCCAAACAGAAACATCCAGACTCCGTTCCATCCCTGTCTCCCTGATGGCTCTGAGTCCCATTTTGCTGACATCCAGTTCTCAGTTTTGCCCTGGTGTTGCAGGAGGTTCACTGTACACAGTGCTGGGACTTTTCCCACCTCCCTGTGACATCTGACACAGCCACCTGCACACAGGTGGCTCTCTGCTTTCCTTGTGTGCCTGTCCCCAGATTTGCAGAGATTGTTTGCTCTCTGAGTTCACACCTCACTCGCTGTCTTCTCCTCTTTCTGCATGCTATGTTTAATTTAAGGGTGGTAGATTTTTTCCTTTACCTGTTTTTTACTCAGCTCTGCCCCTGTAATCTTCTGTCACCAGAAGCAAACTCTCTGTTACGTAAGGACAGGCACAAACCTGCCCTTCCCTGCTTGCCCTGTTTCCTTTTCTGTATTTCTGCTTTCTAGGTCTCCTCACTCCATTACAAACCCACGGTTTGGTCTAGTTCTGCTGCTCCAGGTGTAATTGCTGAAGCCTCAATAAAAGTCAATTTGTCTGCCAAATCCTTGCTGCTGTTATTGTACTGGCCTCGTTAATGCACTGCATAGTGCCATCCCTTCCATGAATATTTTACACACATGAGCAATGGGAGATTTGAGTCCCTGTGAATCACAGAATGCTGTACTCCACTGCTGGCTGTACAAGGGGCATGTGGGACAGCAACAGCACCTGGTAAAGGGCAGGCAGCAATATTCCTAAATATTTGATCCCAGAAAGTGCCTCTTGGTGAGATGCACTAACAGGCTGTTCACAGAATCCTAGAATGGTTTGGGTTGAAAGTGTGAAAAATGCGTATTTTATGATTGGCTTTTCTCAAATATTCAAATGAATATTATATGTTATGTTATAAAGTGATGCTGTATTAATTCTCTTAGGTAGTGTCGTAAATATAGTTTTAGGGTATAATATAAGGTTAAAATAGAAACTATGCTATGTAAGATACTTTTTCTAAAGAGGACTCACAGCGAGATAGCAGCCACAGGACACCTGAGTCTTTCAGAGAAAGAGAATTTATTGCTCCATTATTCGAAGAAATTAACTTCTTCCTGCCGCGCTCAGTCCTGAAAACGCCATCAGGATTCAGAGGAAGAAGCTGACATTGCCCAGACAGAATCCTGTGTTTGAACGGAATTTATGCATCATGTATGAGGTGTATGAATATGCAACAGGCTGTTGCTTTTAAGGGTTAATCCTCTGTTAACGGGGGTCCTTTTTCGGGCTTGTGCTGCCCAGAAAAAGGTACCCGGACTGTCCGTAACTCTTTGTTCTATTGTCTCGCATTGTCCTAATTCAGATTGTCCAAATTGTTATTATTCTAATTATATTACTATTTTTATAACCATTTTATTACTACTAAACGTTTAAAATTTTAAATACAAGTGATTGGAGTTTTTCACAATGGCACGACAACGAGCCTCCCTCAGCGCCGCTGGGGGGCGGGGCCACCGCCGCCACCGTCAGATTGACAGCCGAATCGCCCAATCAGAGTAGCGCGCGCCGCGCATTCTCCGCCCTTCACCTTTCCCGCGGCTTCTCGTGGAGCCGGCGGCGCCAGCCGGAAGTGCAGGTGGTCGCTTCCGGGCGTTGCTAAGCAAGAGGGGCC